TTTGTTTGAACGCATGCAGAGATAAGAACATTCATTTATTTGTGCAACCTCTCTGTAGGTATAGGCTTGGTGGCAGGAGGGCAAAGGAGGACACAGAGCTCTCTACATTTTGATTCCAATGTCTCAATGTTTTTGGTGCTCAGAAACAACTTTATCCTCTTCCTTTTTTTTTTTTTTTTTTTTTTTTTGGTCTCTTCCTATTTCTGCCAAGGAATGAGTCCAGGAGTAGAATCCTGCTCCTTCTCTTCTGATAAACACTGCAATTGTTTTCTCTTCCTTCTGAGTACCCAGCATGGGTTGGACCAGCACCTTCTTTAGTCTTGTTGCAGGAAACGGACTTCCCACTCTGGCTCTGGGATCCAGACCCAGTCTTGGCTTTTCTGAGAAAAAGTAGACTCTGGCTTACTCTTCTGGATTCTCCATTCCAGTCATGTAGCTTATGGCTGTTGCCCAAGTTCTCTTTACCAGCCCTTGGAAAAGAAATCCTGATGTACAATAGTTGTTGGCTTTGCCACATCAGCTGCCTCCTAACTAGGCCAACTTTCCCACTGTCCCTGTTGCTCTCAGTTTTTCTTTCCTCCTGAGCTGGGCTCCCAAGGGCTGTGGCCCTGGGTCTCCTGTCCAGTTCCTGCCCTACTCCACCATCTGGTCTGGGCTTTCTGAGTTTTATCATGAGCACCCTTCTCCACTCAGCAGTTTTCAGCCTCTGGCCTCTGACCCCAGTTCTTGCACTGGGAACTTCCACATTGAAAACCTGACAAAATGCCTGCCTATAGCATGTTATAGCAGGTTTTGAGTTATCTGGGGGAGCTGTCAAGAAGCCAGGTTAGGATGAAGCAAGACAAGAAACAATATTATTTCTGGGGCTGGGGCAGCCCCAGTCAAGACGGTCAGCCACAGCCCAATAATTCTCCCTGCAACCTAGAGGAAGGTTAAGCCCAACACTTGCAACCTGGAGGAAGCTTCTGTCAGAAATGGGCTCTACTGACATGTCAGAAAACAGAACAGACAGCTTAAGAGATCTTCACTACTACTTCCCTGCTTTCACAGCAGGTGTCCTGGTAGTACAAACCCCAGGTGTGAAGCTGCAAGGAGGGATCCAGTTCCAGGACACCAAGAACACCCAGCTACTCAGCAATCTCCTTCCACTGTGAACCTCAGGGCACGTGAACACAGCACAGGCACCCAACAATTCCGCCAAGGCCTGCAGGAGTGTTGTGCCTGGTCCAACCCAGAGTGTCAACAAGCATGTCTTTCCCAACATTGTTACAAAGTGCAAGGATAGAGTCTCCCAAGTGTGCAGCTCCTTTCACCTACCTTGTCTCTTGGGATCCTCATGATAACCCTGAGAGGTGGGAAAGGGGGCTATTCTTAACCCCATTTGAGAGATGAAGAAACTCAAGCTTAGAGAGGGAATGGGAGAACTTGAGGCCACCTAGTGAGAGGCTGGGACTAAACCCTGGGTCTCTTGACTCCTGGTTCAGTGCTCAACCCACTAAGCAGCTTTTCAGAAGCATTGGGACAAGAAAGAATGCCCCAGGAGATAAGGACATCCCAGTGCTCCCCACTGGCCAAAGCAAAGCACACCATGCAGAAGCATCCTCACGTTCACAGATAGCTGCTCCGACCTCCTTTAGCACAGACACAGCGCAAGCCTCCACTGATGCTGTGCTTGCAAAACACAAATATCTAGCACTTCCAACAGCCAACTAGACCCGGCAGAACCTTGGAGACAGGCTTGACTTCACCCAACACAACACCACTGCCACAGAGTTAGACACTACCTAGGCCCACCTTGTCCTCAAGCATGCTACCCTGCTCAGAGCACCTTCCACTTTCCTCTCTCATCAAGGCCACAAACCTGAATTTGGCCTCTCTTCTGACCACTTGTGCTACAAAGTGTCTGCTCCTTGTTTATCTCCAGACTCAACCTCTTCCCTAGCTGCTGAATTTCATATGCCAGTGAATCAATCAGCAAAAGCTCTCAAGCCGGACCAACCTCTTTTTCTCCCACTTTGGGACCTACTAACTCCCCCACCAACCTCAGTGGTTCAGTGGTGTCTGCAAAATGCATCCATCCTGCCACCTGAGTAGCAGGTGAGAGTTATGGGCCCAAGCTTGGGAAGAACCTCTCTCCTTCTGTTCTGACCTGCTGGTCTCCTGGAACTTCCCATTCTAAGCACCACAAGCTTCTTGGGAAGGAAGGGGTAGCAAATAGCTAGCTGGGTGATGAAGGTGTTTATCATTCAGTGGGAAGTGGGGGGGCAGGCTGTGCAAAGAGTGGAGTCTGAGGCAGGGTGATTGAGACACCCCTAGGCCTCCCATACACGCTCAGACCCATCCTCTGGAAGTGAGGAAACAGTGGGCACATTACCTCGGTTACAGATACTGCAGAAGTTGCTGGGCCCCTCGCTGTGCTTCTTCAGGTGGTCTGCCATGTATGCTGCCCGCAAGTACTTCCCACACACCTGGCAGGGCACCTTGTCTTCATGACAGGCCAGGTGGGAGCGCAGACGGTCTCGGGTGGCAAAAGAAGCATTGCAGGTCTGAAGGCAGAAAAGAAAATGGGATGAGGTGAAACCCAGCACGCCAGACCTGACTCCCCACCAAGTGCACCATGAAGCAAAGGCAATTTCTGGCCATCACGTGACCTCCCTTTATAAAGAGAGCTTTAGAGTTTGGCTCAGGCTCTCTACCCAGAATGCCAAGAGGCTGTTCTTATTTCCCATAGTGCCTCCTTACGGGACAGTTGAGTGGGAATCACTGGTACTAACTAAATGACTACTGGAAATGTGCCCAGGACATGGCAAGCTAAGCTCTATACCCCTCTACACAATGAAGAGTTACACATTTTGCTCCTTAGACATTAAGAACTGCCGGGCACGGTGGCTCACGCCTGTAATCCCAGCACTTTGGGAGGCCGAGGCGGGCGGATCACAAGGTCAGGAGATCGAGACCACGGTGAAACCCCGTCTCTACTAAAAATACAAAAAATTAGCCGGGCGCGGTGGCGGGCGCCTGTAGTCCCAGCTACTCGGGAGGCTGAGGCAGGAGAATGGCGTGAACCCGGGAGGCGGAGCTTGCAGTGAGCCGAGATCGCGCCACTGCACTCCAGCCTGGGCGACAGAGCAAGACTCCATCTCAAAAAAAAAAAAGCTGGGCACGGTGGCTCACACCTGTAATCCCAGCACTTTGGGAGGCTGAGGCAGACGGATCAGGAAGTCAGGAGATCAAGATCATCCTGGCTAACACACTGAAACCCCATCTCTACTAAAAATACAAAAAAATTAGCCGGGCGAGGTGGTGGGTGCCTGTAGTCCCAGCTACTCGGGAGGCTGAGGCAGGAGAATGGCGTAAACCCAGGAGGCGGAGCTTGCAGTGAGCTGAGATCCGGCCACTGCACTCCAGCCTGGGGGAGAGAGCAAGACTCCGCCTCAAAAAAAAAAACAAAAGAAAAGAAAAAGCAGCCCATAAAATGATAGTGGCAATTCTGACCACGTGAGAATTAGCAGACAGAACAAGGGCCGGAGTCTTCAAAAGTATCTGTGGGCCAGGCGCAATGGCTCTTGCTTGTAATCCCAGCACTTTGAGAGGCCGAGGTGGGCGGATCACCTGAGGTCAGGACTTCAAGACCAGCCTGACCAACATGGTGAAACCCCATCTCTACTAAAAATACAACAAATTAGCCCAGCGTGGTGGCAGACTCCTGTAATCCCAGCTACTTGGGAGGCTGAGGCAGGAGAATCACTTGAACCTGGGAGGGGAGGTTGCAGTGAGCAGAGATCCTGCCACTGCACTCCAGCAGGGGGAACAAAGCAAGACTCCCTTTAAAAAAAAAAAAAAAAAAAAAAAAAAAAAAAAAAGGCCAGGCGCAGTAGCTCAAGCCTGTAATCCCGGCACTTTGGGAGGCCAAGACGGGCGGATCACGAGGTCAGGAGATCGATACCATGCTGGCTAACGCGGTGAAACCCCGTCTCTACTAAAAAATACGAAAAACTAACCGGGCGAGGTGGCGGGCGCCTGTAGTCCCAGCTACTCAGGAGGCTGAGGCAGGAGAATTGCGTAAACCCGGGAGGCGGAGCTTGCAGTGAGCCGAGATCGCGCCACTGCACTCCAGCCTGGGCGACAGAGCAAGACTCCATCTCAAAAAAAAAAAAGCTGGGCACGGTGGCTCACACCTGTAATCCCAGCACTTTGGGAGGCTGAGGCAGACGGATCAGGAAGTCAGGAGATCAAGATCATCCTGGCTAACACACTGAAACCCCATCTCTACTAAAAATACAAAAAAATTAGCCGGGCGAGGTGGTGGGTGCCTGTAGTCCCAGCTACTCGGGAGGCTGAGGCAGGAGAATGGCATAAACCCGGGAGGCAGAGCTTGCAGTGAGCCGAGATTGCACCACTGCACTCTACCCTGGGCGACAGAGCGAGACTCCGTCTAAAAAAAAAAAAAAAAAAGCATTTGTGAAACGTTAGGCTGGGGAAGTGCTGGTGATAGCAAGGATGATGATACTACCCTGTATTGATTGTGAGCCAGGCAGGCACGGTGCTCACCCTTTTAGAGGCACTTATCTCATGCAACCCATCCTGATAGCAGCCCTCTGAGGCAAGCTGTGTGATTACCCTCCAAGAGAGCATGGCTTTGGAAAGCTGTGGTGTGAGCTGAGCACCAACTCACAGCCAGGCCCCCGGGTCGGATGAGTCAGGAGCTGAAGGTCAGAACCAGTACCCTGGAAGGAGGACCAGGTTGGCAGGCATTTCTTGTAATTTCCTGTACCTGAGGACCTGACTTGAGTACCAGTGATCAGTCTCCTCACAACATCCCTTCCTCAGCTGGAGCTTGCAAAGGCATTCCAGCTGTGGGGGTCACAGAATATTGGGAAAGCCCTGAGAAGAGCTGAATCCGTTGGCTTTCAAGGTATTTTGGTTCCAGGGAGGTGTTTAATGGGTTCTAGTCAATTTTGACTCATTTCTTTTTTCTGTATGTGTGTTTACTGTTTTAGAACTGTAAGAGAAAGCAACATTCACCTTTAAATGTGTTACGGATCAAATGGTAACCCACTGAAGACCACCCCATTACCTTGTGCTAGAACGGAACTGCCTCTACCATCTCTCTTTAACAGAAGCACATCCTGAGAACCTGAGAGCTCAAGGTAAGTGAACACTGTCACCACATACAGACATCTAACTATCTCTTTACTGTACAACCATAGCAAGAAACAAACGCATGCAATGCCGTCAAGGTAGAAGACACCACTGTTTACTATCCCAGTTCCAAATATCTGTGTATGTTAGCACAGCCTACCTAGCTCTTATGTCATTATCTTTTTAAGTAAATATTATACATATGAACTGAATTTGTAGCAATGAAATACTGCTTTTATCTGTTTTATATATTCAGTGTATTCATATCATAAATGAGGAAACTAACTTTAGAAGATGAACTTGCTTAAAACACTAGACTCAACTATTAAAGTCTAGCACACCCACCCCCACCACACCCAGGCCAGTACTTTACCAATCCTCCTGGCCACCCCAGGGGATTCTGATCTCTCCCAGTTTACAGCTGGGCCAGTGGAGGCCCTGAGAGGATGAGACAGCTGGACTAAGAACCAGTCCCACAGCCTGTGCTCTTACAATCTCCAGATTCAGGAGAGGGAGCTTCTGCTGAGTGAAAGGTGCTCATACTTTATAACACAGTGTACAGTACTTGGCAGCCAGGACCCCCAAAAGGGAAAGGTGAAGAGATTTGTGCAAGGAAATTCCAGCATGTAGGTAAGTCAGAAAGCACCATGGATGCTTGCTCTCATGGCTACAGGTGGGCCCCACCTCAGCCATGGACCTCATGACGCAGTGACAGGCCACAGTAGGAGAAAAAAAACTCCAAACCTCTACACAGCCCAGCAGTCTCTAAACTGGGGCAGGGGCTGCATAAACACCCCCAGAAAAGAGAGGTGCACCTGTTGGTTTATTTGGGGACAAGACCCAGCTTTGCCAGGCAGCGACCCAAAGACCACCCCCTCCAACAGTGAGAGAAGGTGTGTTCTAAGCCTCAGAGCTCAAAGGAACCAACATGGATCAGGTATAAGAAAACAGGGCTGAGGCCGTGCGCAGTGGCTCACGCCTGTAATCCTAACACTTTGGGAGGCTGAGGCGGGTGGATCACAAGGTCAGAAGGTTGAGACCAGCCCGGCCAATATGGTGAAACCCTATCTCTACTAAAAATACAAAAAAATTAGCCGGGCGTGGTGGTGGGTGCCTGTAGTCCCAGCTACTCGAAAGCACATTCAGGATTTTGTCTTCCACAGTCCCTAGGAGAGGGAGCCACAACATGGATAGGCAAGAGATGCCTTGTTTCTCTTACCAACCTTTTTTTAAGATCTGTCCTCTAAAGGCTTTGCCTGTCATGCTTTGCTACCTAAAGATGATGGACAGCCAAACTTCAATTATCCACAAGTCGCTTATCCATTTGGGGATTAGCTAAGCAAAATTAAAATCCCAGACTGGGCTGGCTTCCCCCACCCTGTCCTCCATTGATTATCTCTCAAGGAATGAAAGCTAACTTTCGCCTGAGCAAACAGAATTAGGAATGTAAATCTGCTGGGGGAAGAAACAAAAACATGACAAAAGCTTTCCCTGTGTTCAAAGCCAAGCTGAAGAGATTGTTGGCTTCTCTGTGCCAGGATTGACCCTCTGTGGCTGCAGTCCCCAGGTTTTCTGGGGAGCCTGTGAAACTCCAGAGTCTAGGCACAGCAGAAGTTCAGACAACACAGAACATGAAAGAGCCTGGTCACACAACCCAGGAGAGAAGGGGCGGAGGGAGACAGATCTCAAAGGGAACATCCAGAACTTCCATGCTGGGGTGTCAGGAGAAGAGCATTCTTTGTCCTAGAGACAGGGAGAAGACAGAGGGACACTGATGGGAAGAGAGCGAGCCAGAGGCAGAATGCTGTGACTGCCTGTGGCACTCAGAAGAGCTGCCTGGCCCACAGCCCTGTGCTTAGATAGCCTGCTGTAGTTAAGGGCCATGCCTGCCAGGTGCTGGCCCAGGCACCCTGAGTGTTGGTCATCACCACTCAACGCTGAGCCCCAGTCCTGATCCCTTCCCAGACTTCCTGAAGCTTTTCCTCCTAAGGATTGAGCAGCTTGGGAATGGGGCCCAAATGGTACCAAGGGCACTAGTGCACACCCCTACCCTTGGTGGCCCTTGAACTCAGGCAGCCTCAGGGGTAGTCTCGAGCAGCCTTCTCCCACAGCACTGGAAAACCCTTAAGGGCAATGCGTGAAAGTTCAGCTCCCTGGGCTCTTTGGCCCCCTTCTTCTCAAGCATATGCCCATCTCAACGCATTCCTTCTCTAACCAGCCCCCAAGAAGTGGAGCCTGTGGAAGCTAGGGAGGTCTGAGCTGCTCCAGCCTCTCAGCTTCAGGTTGAACTCCACGTGGGGGAAATGTCCCAGCCCACTAAGCTCATAAATCCAGCAATACTTGGGGCATCTGGGCCAGTTAAGAACACTCAGGCCAAGCCCCAAGGAGACATGCCACTGTCAAGCCTGAAGCTTCCTGTCCCTACATTCAGATGGCCTTTCTACTTAAGCTATGGCACTAGTCTCTTGTAATTGGCCTCCTTCATTCTCTCTGGCATCAGGAGGGGATGAGCAATAGGGACTGTGCCTAGCCAGTGGGGGACCCAAGGAACGAACTCCCAGAGAGCTGTCTCTTCACCTCTGATGTTTTCAGCATCCCCACACCATGCCAACAGATGCCCCTGCTGTTTAACCAAGCCCAAGCACACCTCGCTGGCCAGCCCAGAGCACGAGAGCCAGCATGTCTTCACCTGCTGGGTCCCTGTTAGGGGAGTTGTGGCTATGGGGCTGGAGGAGGGGCCAGCAGGTCTGTGAGAGTGTATGTTGGAGGGGCAGGGCAGGAGCACATTTGTACACCAAGGGACAGTGATGTCAGTGTTATGACACAGACCAAGGACAAAACACACAAAGCCTCAAATGTTAGAATGAAAAATTTTATCATCACTCCTGTTCACCCCACAGAGTCTGCGGGGTGCTAAAGGGCACACCAATGGGATCCAAGGGAGGGGGTCTACATCTGCTTTTTCAGCCCCCAAAGCCATATACTGGGATAGCCCAATAGAAAACTACTCATTGGTTTGGTTCCTGAGCAGACCTGCTAATAAACCTCAAAAACACAAAAGTCTACTTCACTAGCCAGAAATGAAAGCAGGATCTAGATCTGAGTGGGAAGGGCAGAAGGCAGCATGGGTTGACTCTAGTTGGAACTGTGCCAGTCTTCTCTGGAGGCTGACTCACTCCCGGATTGGGGAAAGGGGTGGCCGGACCCCAGTCTAGAAACCCCAGGCCTACGGGAAGTGATGCCAGGGGAGGGGAAGCAGATAAGCTGGTGGCTAGTTCCCAGGAAGGCACCAACCTCCAAAATCACCTAGGCAAGGACAGATGCCCAGGGGTGCCATCTGTGAAAGGGGGGAAAAGGCAAGAGAGCCCAGAAAGAAACTTGGATGCTATAGGGGGTTCCAGAAAGGTGCTCCTTACTACCCCCATTTAGGGGCTCTGAGATGGGACAAGTCACCCAGGGAGGAGCTGGGCATGGTGGGCAGGAACCACCCTGCTAGTCTCTCCCAAAAGCAGGGGTCTCAGGCCAACTGCCACTCCTGTTCCCCTCCACTGTCAACCCTCTCCAGGGAGGCCCAGGCTAGCCAACAGGCCACTGGGTAAAGGCCCTGCTGCCCTCTGGGGTGGTCCAGCCCTGCCTCAGATATCCCGGCGGGGCTGGGCAGAAGAGAGCGTTGCTGGAGTGTGCTGGGCCCAGGTTTTCAAGGGCTGGGAATGATTTTTTTAGAGAAAGGGAAAAGGCGGTGTCAGGAACCGAATGGGACGACCTCCACAAAGCAGGCTGGGCAAAGTCCCATGATGGCAGGTCGCTAGGAAGAGGTTCCAGGGGCGGCAGGCCGCTGCTGCTCCCAACCCACACCTGGAAAAAGGGCAGAGAGTGCAGGTTACCCCCCCAGGCCACCGGGCTTGCCCCCACTGCCCTCTGGGCTCCTCCTACTCTGCCCGGGCTACTCAGCACACTACCTGACTCAGAATGTGCTCTGTGATGAGAGAAACAGAGAGAGAGAAGGCAGCAAGGCAAAGACAGATCCCCACAGGCCCGCCCTGGGCCATCCTCCAGGAAACTGCCTAGCCCAGCACCTGTGAACATCGTCCACGCCTGGCCCCCAGGGGCTCTGCCCTACTTACAGCATTCATCCCTCCCTGCTGGTCTCCCTGAACCCTCTCCCCTTGCCACCAACAGGATAAGGAGAAGCAGGTTATCCTCTCAGAGGCTGCAATGCACACCCCACAATCATGGCTCACCCCCACTTGGTGGGAACTTGGCATGGGAGAGGGGAGATAACCAAGGAAAAGACAGAGATGTGTTCGCTATCCAGACAAGAATGCTCAGTGTCCAGGAGAGGAAACTCAATCTTCTGGGCACCAGCAGGGACCCCAGATATTGTTCAAGCAGGTAAACCAAGGGTGAGAATCTATCTGGTTTAGCTTTCCCTACTTGCTACTTTGCAAAGAGCTCAAAGAAGAGGAGCCCACTTTGCTCTCCAGTCCTCCAGAAACCCTGGCTCAGGGTGGGTTAAACAGGAGCCAGTGTGGGGGAGAGGACCACCCACTCCCTACCTCCTACCTCCCCCACTGCCTTGTGCCCTAAGCTGAGGGGACCCGGGAGGAGCTCTAACTGAGGTCAGAAAAGGGGAAGAGTGGTTGGCTGGACCACCAGGAGCCCTTTTTAAAAAACCTGCAGTCCCTACAAACTGCTGGAAACCAACAGCCAGGCCCAGCACAGGGCTGGGTCTCCCAACACAACATCTGTGCGATAGTTCCACTATCCAAGGAGCCGGCAAACACCAGGAGAGGAAAGCCAAGCAACAGAGTGAAGGCAAAGATGGGGTGGGAACCAGGACCAAGCAACCAGGAAGGAGGAACATCAGCTGTGGGGGAAGGGGGCCTGGGGGAAGAACAAAGGAGGAGAGCAGAGGGAGGGTGGAGGAACAGAGGGGAGGTGTGCAAAGCGGTGGGCAGTCAGCCGGGCCCCCGGCACACGCAGCAGCTGGTTCATGGCTGCGACCGTGAGAACAGCAACATCTCCTTCAGCCCATCTCTGCCCTGGCCCAGCCCCTACCTGACACTTGTGAGGCCGTTCAGAAGTGTGCACCTGCTTGATATGTCCATTCAAGTGATCAGGCCTGGAAAAGAGAGAACCAAGAGGGACTTTAGAAACTTGGCCAAACCCCACCACACAGGCACACACACACACACACACACACACACACTGCTGGAGAGGACTCCCTCTCCTCCACCCCAGCATGACAAAGACAAAGTCACCACCCAGCTCTGGCTCCACAGGCCCAGGCCTCTCTGCCCTGGTTTTCTCTGGAGGGGGAAGGGAAGTGGGCATTTGTCTCTGATCTTCCCTCCCCACCCCCTCAATTCCCCCCCACCAGAAACTCAATGTTTTCTAGGACCAGAGGCGGTGGCAGTAGAATGAAACAGAGCTGCCTCACTGCAGCCTTTCCAGAGGAGGGGGTATGTGTGATTCATTGTCCAGACTAAAGCCCCTTAGAAACTCAGCAATCCCCCCTCCCCCAGCCTCTCCCGCCACGGGCAGCCAATGAATGCCACCCGGATGGAATTCAGTCCCCAGAGGCCAACAGTGGAGCCTTAAGTCCCCAGCTGGGCTGGTAAGCCAGATGCCCGCCTGAGCAGGTGGGCAGGGGCTGCCTGACCGGTAAGACTGGTTCCCGGTTGGGGCCCTCTGAGGGAGTTCTCCATCCCTGTGTTCACACACACAAGGTCCTCCAATCCAGGTTAAAACCAGCCTTTTAGGAGAAAAACAAAACCACCCTCTGCTCCCAGACCAGTCCTCAGTTCCCCAACAGGCTAACTAGAAAGTAAACCTACATAAAGATCCTGCCCCATTCCTTTCTGTCCTGAGAACATAAAGGGGCTCTGTGGGTTAGGCTCTAGAGCTACCAAGTCAGAGCAGATCAAAGCTTTTGGTGTTAAGCAGCAGCTCTGGGTGCCCAGCTCTGTGTCCCATGATCCCAGGGTGGTCTGAGAGCATAGCTGGAATCTACTGATCAGCAAGGCCAGTGTTCTGTGTTGGGGAATCTGGTGCCTCAGGAGTGTGGGGAGTCCCAGATGCACTTGTTCCAGTCCCTCCCTCGGCAGCCATTCAAGCGGGGAAGTCGCTGGAGGAGCCCAGTCTCCCGCCCCCAGAGGGGGCCCCACGCCTGGTGCCAGAAACACAAAGGGAGCCCAGGGAGAAGAATGGTGAGGTCCGGTGGCTCTGGCCTGAGGAATCCCGCCCCAGGAGGAGAGACAGTAGGGCACACTTAGCGTCAAAGAACTTCCCTGAGGGAACAGAAAGCAGGTCTCAGGCATACCATCTCAAAATAAGGGCCCTTAAAACACTCTCCCAAACCTGGCATGACTCTATAAGGTCAAGTGACCCCCACAAATGCCACCGCCCCGGATCTTGGCAGGGGCCTTTTCAGGACTAAGATACGTGTGGCAGCGGAGCAGGGGAGGAAGAGGGGGCCTTTCCTCACCTGGAGAAGCCTTTCCCACAGCTCTGGCAGATGTAAGGCTTGCCCACGGACCCATCATGGGACCGCACATGGTAGGACATGCGGTCTTTTCTCTTGAACCGCAGCCCACACACAGGGCAGGAATAGGGCTTCTCCCCAGAGTGGGACAGCTTGTGCCGGTTGAGATGATACACATCACGGAAGATCTTGCCGCAGATCTCACAAGCCACCTGCTTCCTGGTCCGGCTCCTCTTTCGGGGGCCGTCGGGGTCTTCAGAGATGGCTAGCCCATTCTCACCCAGCCTCGGAGGAGGAAGGTCGATGTAGCCCAGCTGGAGGCTGGTGACACCGTGCTGGGCCTCATGCTGCCGGAGCCGGTTGGCATCAGTGAACACCTTCCCACACAGACCGCATGGAAGGATGCCGGCCTCCCTCAGGCCCCCTGGGGACCCAAACATTGAGTCCAGCAGGTTGGCCTTCCTTGGGCGGCCCCGGCCTCGCTTGCCAGTCAGGGGAGGGGCACTGGATGCCACATTGGGGAATGGGGAAGTCAGCAGTTGTGGGGATAGGGGTCCAGCCACCATGGGCAAGCGGTCCACCCCAGGTAACACAGGCAAGGAGGCTTGGCCTGCAATGGCTGCACCAGCCGCCCGAGCTGCCTCCTCCTCTGGCTGCATGCTGCCCGCGATGCCATTGCTGTTGGCTGCCAAGGCTGCCCCGTTGGTCATGTCCAAAGGGAAGCCCAAGTCCGAGGTCCCAGGGGGACGAAAGAGCATTATATCGGCGCGGGCAGGGGGTACCAGGATCTGTACGTTGGACTGTTTGATGACTTCCTGGCAGATCTCGATAACCGACCTCATCAGCAGGAACTTGGCGGCCGTCATGAGTTCGGGAAAGCTCTCCAGTCGCACCACGATGCGGGAAGTGTAGGCGAAGTCCAGAATGTCCCCAAATACCTTGGAGCTGATAGTGTGCATCTCCAGCTCCCGGCTGCCCCCGGCCCCGCCGCCTGGGGCTGCCGTCGCGCCCCCTACATCAGCCGGATCCCCGTCCGCAGCTCCGCTGTCGCCCAACTGGGCGCTGAACACCGATTCAAAGTACTCGCTGCAGGCGGCCAGCACGGCGCGGTGCGCTGGGAAGCTCTCGTCGCCTACCCGCAGCAGCACGTCGCAGAAGCGCCCGCCGTTCTTGCGCTGCTGGTTCAGGTTGTGCAGCATCTCCGTGCTGTGTCTGCTCACCTGGTACGTGTAGCAGCCAGACGGGCCGCAGGAAGCGTCGTTCACCCGCTCCATGGCCGCCGCCCCCTCCCACTAGCCCGGCCGCCGCACCTGCCCGCCCCCTCCCTTCCCCTAGGCAGCGAGAAGCGGGGCACAGCAGACGTGTCCACACTCCCCACACGTGCCGGCCCGGGGCTCTGTAGTCTCGCAGGTGCGCCAAGCGTACACGCCCCCAGCCCGGATCGGACTGTCTAGACTGCGGGGTGCACCACCATCCCCCACATAGCCAACCCCCGCCCTCGCTGGACTGCGCGCCGCTCTCTCCTCTCCGCCCGCCTCCCCTTCCCGGTCTACCTTCCGGGGGGGTGCGCGAGCGAAGAGGTGCGCCCCTCCTGCAAACGCGCCTGCCACCTCCCCTCCCGCCCGCCAGGCGGCGCCGGCGCGCAGCCAAGAGGGGCACGCGCACGCGGGGAGGAGAAGGAGGGGGTCCGCCGCGCAGGCGCGCGCGCGCGCCGCGGCTTTTCCCGGGCCCGCTGGGGGCGCGCGCTGCGTCCCCTGCAAAGCGCGAGCCGGGGCGGGGGCGCCGGAGCGGAGGAAACAAAAGGCGAAGGCGGCGGCGGGGCGCGCACGGGGGCGGTGGCGCGGGCCGGGTCCCGGAGCCTGGAGGGCGGTGGCGGCGGCGGCGGCTGGAGCGGGCGGGCGGCGGCGGCGGCGGCAGAGTAGGCCCTTCCCCGGGCCGGGAGAAGGCGGCGGCGGAGCGGCGGCGTTGCGGCCCCGGGCTCCGTGTGTTCGGAGCGGAGGAAAGATGGCAGCGGCTGCACTTCCTCTTGCACTTTCACCCCTGGGGGGAGGAGAAGGAGGGGGCGATACCAACAACACCCCCCCCTCTCGCTTGCAGAAAAAAAAACGGCGAGCTCAGAGTGGGGGGCCCCTGGCGCCCCCGGCCTTGCACGTGCGCGCCCGGATGTCTAGTCCGGGCCGCCTCGCGCTGCAAACTTTCCACTTTCTTTGTGCCGAGCGCCCCCCCCCCCCACCAAGCCGAGGATGCACATCCCCCCTTCCCTATTTATACACCCCCCCCGCAGCTCTGCTCCCCCCGCTTCCTGCCCCCCCTCCCCATTCCCCAGATCCGCCAATGCTAGAGCAGCCTGAGCCCCCGTCCGGCCCCCGCCTCCCCACCCCGCCCGCGGGGCCGGGGGCTGCAGTCTCAGCCCCCCCGGACCAATGCAAACGAAGCGCCGAGCCAGCAAACCAGCTCCCACTGCCCCTCCCCTGCCCGCTGAGAGTGGCGGCTAGCAGGGTTGGGGGGGCAGGAACTGAGGGGTGCGGATCCGGGCCCCCCAGCCTGCGATGCGCACTCGCAGGTCGAGCGGGCGTCGTCCACCCTTCGGAGCCCCGCTTTCATGCGCGAAATCCCCAGAAGTCGCCTGCGACCGCCTCCCTGCTTCAAACACCAGAGAGGGCCCGGGGTCCTGGCCGGAGACAGGCCGAACCTCCGGAGCTCCTTCTGCACCCGGTACATGGACCGAACTGATGGGCTACGCGCCCGGAAGAGCTGGGGAGATGAGGCCAGCGTCCAGCTTCTCCCCCAAACCCAGCACGCCGAGCTTTGTCCCCGGGGAGCGTGAAGTCACCAGCTCCGGAAGGCGACAATATGAGGGCGATGGACGGGGCAGGGACCCCCGGAAGCCCCAGCAGTTCTCGGGGAAGTGGGGGTGCCGGAGGAGTCGGGGACACTCTCGGGCCTCTCCAAGCCGGGAGCATCCCCAGCGCCCGCAGCCCTGTGAGACGCCGGGTGTTCTGGTTATGGGCCCTGCCGCCAGGCCTCGGCGCTTTGTCCCCGGCCCGCCCGGGGATGCTACCGCGCTAGAGTTGTACACCAAGGTTTGCCTTCCCAGGAAGCGCTGGCGGCCGCCTGGCGCAGAGCCCCAGGCAGCAGGCGCCGCGTGTGCGGGCGGGAAGTTCCCACAGTTGCAAAGAGGGAGCGAAGTATGTGTTCCAAACTTTCCACGGTTCCAAACTGAGCGCTTCCATTAAGAGAAGCGGTGTGCGGGGGAAAAGCATTCTGGGTATTAGCATGCAAATGAACGGGCCCGGCTTCCAACTCCGCTCGGGATTCCCACCGATACGCGCCGAGCTCGCGCCCAGCCACGCGCGCCCTGAGGCTTCCGGGCGTTGCCCTGGCGTTTGATCCGAGTTCAAAATCGAGACATCTACCTTCTGGTTTTGTGTCCCAGTGCTTAGTCACTTGGCCTCCCTGAGATTCAGTTAAACTGACTGTTACTTAACCTGTACACGGGGACAGCAGCACCTGTCTTGCACACCTCCGCTCTAGGGCATAGTATATGCCAAACTCTGTTGGAGAGAATGAATGAGCCTTAGAGGCTTGAAGAAAGTTCCCTGGACATGAAGCCAGGAGTTCTGTGTCCTAAGCCCAGACTCACTGTCACCTTGGGCTAGTGACTCCTGCTCTGAGCCACAGCTTTCTTGGGCGGATTTTGGGAACTGGCACGTTTTATTTTTGAGAGAGCTGCTGGGAAAGGGTCCGGGCGCGGCGGCTCACGCCTGTAATCCCAGCACTTTGGGAGGCTGAGGTGGGCGGAGCACCTGAGGTCGGGAGTTCGAGACCAGTCTGACCAAGATGGAGAAACCCCGTCTCTACTAAAAACAAAAAATCAGCCGGGCGTGGTGGCACATGCCTATAATCCTAGTTACTCGGAAGGTTGAGTCAGGAGAATCACTTGAACCCGGGAGACGGAGGTTGCGGCGAGCCGAGATCGCGCCATTGCACTCCAGCCTGGGCAACAAGAGTGAAACTGTCTTAAAAAAAAAAAAAAAAAAAAAGAGAGATAAAGAAGGATTTGCTCTGAGTGTCCAGTGTATACACACATCGTCTCTCCATAGTAGGTGTAGATATTCCCATTCTACCATTGGAACTGGGTAAGGAGTAACCTGCCCAAGGCCACACAGATAGTGATGGAGCCAGGATTCAAACTGCTAAAACTACCCCTTTCTCACCAGTGGCTTCTGAAACCTGTCACCCTTCCATGGCTCCACTTGAACCAGGAACTGACTCTCTGCCTGCTATACTTAGAAAACAGGGTGCCATGACTGGCCCCATCCAACGGGTTCACCCTGTGAAGGTGGGTTCATAGGGTGCTCTCAGGACCCTCATCCATGGTCCTCTAAGGAAAACAGGGAACATGCATCAGCCCTGTTTTGCAGATAGGCAGCTTGAGGGTCAAGGAGCCAGGGTGGCCCGGGATCCTACCTTGGGGAAGTGGCCAGAGACAGTCCAGATGCCGTTCTGATCCCACCTGGGAGCTTTTATCCAAATGTCACCTTGGCAGTGTGATTGTGGGGGTGGGAGTAACCTCTCCACTTCATCCATTACTCTCAGTCTTGCCCATCTCTCAGGCTCCCAGGAATCCATTATGTAACTTCAGGCGAAAAGGCATGCTTGCAGAACATGTCTTTTTTTTTTGATGTAACATTTACATGACATAAAATTAACAATTTTAAAGTGTATAATTGACTAGCACCTAGTAGATTTACAATGTTGTGCAACCAGCACCTGTGTGGAGTTGCAAAACATTTTTATCATCCCAAAAGAAAACTCCATACACATTAATAAGTCACTTTCCATTCCCTTCTCCCTCCATCCCCTGGCAACCACCAATCTGCATTCTGTCTCTATGGATTTACCTATTCTGGATATTTTATTTATTTATTTTTTATCTTTTTGAGACAAAGTCTCACTCGGTCACCCAGGCTGGAGTGCAGTGGTGCAATCTCGGCTCGCTACAACCTCTGCCTCCTGGGTTCCAGCGATTCTCCTGCCTCAGTCTCCCAGGTAGCTGGGATTACAGACTCACGCCACCATGCCCAGCTAATTTTTGTATTTTCAGTAGCGATGGGGTTTTGCCATGTTGGCCAGACTAGTCTTGAACTCCTGACCTCAGGTGATTTGCCCACCTCAGCCTCCCAAAGTGCTGGGATTATACACATAAGCCACCATGCCCCGCCTGGATATTTTATTTAGATGGAATTATACAATACTGTATGTGACCTTTTGGGTCTGGCTTCTTTCAGTTAACGTAATGTTTTCAAGGTTCATTCATGTTGTATTATGTATAAATACTTCATTCCTTTTTATGACTGGCTGAATGATACGCCATTGTATGGATAAACTGCCTTTATCCATTCATCCATTGATGCCTTTTAGTTATTATGGATAGTGCAACTATGAACATTTGTGCACAAGTATTTATTTGAGTGCCTATCTTCAGTTCTCTTGGGTGTATACCTAGGAGTGGAATTGCTGGGTAATCCTATGTATAACTTACTGAGGAACCACCAGACTCTTCCACAGTGACTCCACCATTTTACATTCCTACCACACATGTCTTTTTATAAATAATTTTAGTGCTGGTCAAACCTCATTTTATGAATGAGGCCCAGAGAGGTTAAGTAATTTGCCCAAGGTCACACCCTTAGTCAGAGTTTAGACTAAAACCAAACTTTCCTGAGTTCCTAGCCTTTCAAACACTAAGAGCCTCCCATGTCACCTTTAAAGACCTCGACTACTTGCCCGAGTTTTTCATTGATTGACTTGACAAACCTGCCTGGTGAACAACTGAGCCGTATTTATGAAGCTTTTTTTCTCTCAACATCTGTTGAAAGAACCTACTGCCATGTTCCCGATTTCTAGGCCACACCTTGAAAACATGCAGAGCTCACAATCCCTGCATCTGCCTCCTGCTGCTGGCCTGTCGGGCCCTCTTCTGTTGCCATGGAAACCGTGCACCTCAGTTTTGGCAGCAGACCAGCTGGACAGCGAACTGAGAACATCCTTGTCTCCTAGGCTAAGCAGAGCTGTCAAGGTCATGTATTCATTCACTAGATTTGTATTTATTGATTACCTACTAAGCACCAGGCTTTTGTTTTGTAAGATGCTAGGGATACAGCAGTGAACAAGCCAGACCACAGATCCTGCCCTCAAGGAACCCGTAGTCTAGAGGAGACAGATAAAAACCAAGGAACAAAAAGGCTTCACCTGGCTCCCCTCCCTAGTTCACATTCTCCCAATCTTCCAGGCTGTGCTAAATCCACTTCCCCTGGACCATCCCCCCAAGAGCCCAAATGCAGGTGATAGCTCCTCTCAGGATTTACATTGCATTTTTTTGTTGTTATTGTTTTTCCCTGATTGTAAAAGTGCTATGTGCATTGTGGAAAATGTAGAAAATACACAAAAGCACAAAGAAGAAAAATTAAATAAAGATCTGTAATTTCACCACCAAGAGTCAAGTGCTGCCAACATTTCCTTCTGGTCTTTTTCTACATATGTGTATTTCTGGGGTTTTTTTGTTGTTTTTTTGTTTTTTTGTTTTGTTTTTTTTTTTTTTTTGAGACGGAGTCTCGCTCTGTCGCCCAGGCTGGAGTGCAGTGGCCGGATCTCGGCTCACTGCAAGCTCCGCCTCCTGGGTTCACGCCATTCTCCTGCCTCAGCCTCCGGAGTAGCTGGGACTACAGGCGCCCGCCACCTCGCCCGGCTAGTTTTTTGTATCTTTTAGTAGAGACGGGGTTTCATCGTGTTAGCCAGGATGGTCTCGATCTCCTGACCTCGTGATCCTGCCCGTCTCGGCCTCCCAAAGTGCTGGGATTACAGGCTTGAGCCACCGCGCCCGGCCGTTTTTTTGTTTTTTAATTATTGGGTCTTATTTTACACACTGCTTTATAAAATTGTGTCATTAAAAAAATTTTGTTTGTTTTTTTGTTTTTTGATACGGAGTTTTGCTCTTGTTGCCCAGGCTGGAGTGCAGTGGCACGATCTCGGCTCACTGCAACCTCTGCCTCCCAGATTCAAGCGATTCTCCTGCCTCAGCCTCCCAAGTAGCTGGTATTACAGGCATACACCACCAAGCCCAGCTAATTTTGTATATTTTAGTAGAGACAGGGTTTCACTATGTTAGTCAGGCTGGCCTCAAACTCCTGACCTCAAGTGATCCACCCACCTCGGCCTCCCAAAGTGCTTGAGCCACCACATCTGGCAAAAAAGTATTCTTTTTCCCAACACGTTTCGCAGTTCCCCAAGGGCAGGGACAGGGCATTAATAATAATAACAAATTTGGCCAGGTGGCTCACACCTGTAATCCCTGCACTTTGGGAGCTGAGGCGGGTGGATCACCTGAGGTCAGAGACCATCCTGGCCAATATGACGAAACTCCGTCTCCACTAAAAATACAAAAAATTAGCTGGGCGTGGTAGCATGTGCCTATAATCCCAGCTACTCAGGAGGCTGAGGCAGGAGAATCGCTTGAACCCTGGAGGCAGACGTTGCAGTGACCTGAGATCATGCTACTGTACTCCAGCCTGGGCAACAAGAGCAAGACTCCATCTCAAAAACAACAACAAAAAATAATAATAATAGGGCGCAGTGGCTCACGCCTGTAATCCTGGCACTTTGGAAGGCTGAGGTGGGTGGATCACAAGGTCAGGAGTTCGAGACCAGTCTGACCAACATGGTGAAACCCTGTGTTTACTAAAAATACAAAAATTAGCCAGGCGTGGTGGCACACACCTGTAATCCCAGCTACTCAGGAGACTGAGGCAGGAGAATCTCTTGAACCCAGGAGGCAGAGGTTGCAGTGAGAGGAGATCACGCCACTGCACTCCAGCCCGGGCAACAGAGTGAGACTCTGTCTCAAAATAATAATAATAACAATAACAAATTTGTTAAGCACTAACTGTGCCAGCCATGGTGCTGAGACCACTCCTTGGTTTACCCTCTGGAATCCTCACAACAACACTATGAGGCACTTACTCTGATGATTCTCATTTTCCTGCTGTGGAAACTGAAGAAAGAACAGATAGGGAAGGGAGAGGAAGGCCCAAAGCATGCTGAATAGCAGGGCTATGTGGGTACCTCTGCGTGCTCCAAGGGCTTTCAGCACAAATCCAGGCTGCCAGGCTTTATTGAGGACCTGATGGGAGGAGGCGATGGAGGGAAACACAGGAATGAGGCACCCCAGTTTCTGCCTCACTTGCCTTTAGCCTTTATCAGTCTTGCTTAGAATGCATGTGAAGCCAACACACTTCCTTTGCTCTCTTCAATGTTGGGCTGTTGGGCTTCTTAATAACAAAAGCAACAAGACCATTCCTTGAACAATCATGTTACTTCAAGCATGAACGGAGTTGGTTTGGAGCCAGACAGACACAAATTCAAGTTCAAGGTCTGCCCTTGCTGATAGTTTGGCTTTGGGAGAACAGTGCCAGAGGTTCATTTAACCCCCACAGCCTTTCTCTGAGGGTAGGATCATTGCCCCTGTCTTTTGTTTTTTCAGAGACAGGGTCTCTGTCACTAGGGTTGGCATGTACTGTCACCATAGCTCACTGCAGTCTGGAATGCCTTGGACTCAAGTAATCCTCCTGCCTCCACCTCTGGAGTAGCCGGGACTCTGCGGTATGCCACCATGCCCAGAACATTTTTACAAATGTTTGTAGAGGCCGGGCGCGGTGGCTCAAGCCTGTAATCCCAGCACTTTGGGAGGCCGAGACGGGCGGATCACGAGGTCAGGAGATCGAGACCATCCTGGCTAACACGGTGAAACCCCGTCTCTACTAAAAATACAAA